TGGAGTGCGTAGTGACTAGCCAGCGTGCGTGGTACGCTGCTGGCGTGCATACTGGCCTCGCAGAACACGCTGCTGGGTGCGTGCTGCACTGTGGCGTACGCGGGTGAACAAGGACATGCGCTGCCGAGCGTTTTGGCGTGCACTGCGCACGTCTACGTGCGTAACTGCGACATCGCGACACTTGACTACCGAGTACTGGGCACGCATGCGCGTACTGGGCGCGCACACGTTGCCTGCGTACTCACTGGCTTGCCGGGCACGCCTGCGCGCACGCTGCGTGCGGTAGGCATCTCGGTCGGCATTTCGCCGGCCGTCCGGCTACTTTCTCTGGCAACATTAACATGATTCCACATGTTTAAACATAACATGACTATACATACTGATTTTAACCCAAAATTCATGAACTTCACTATATAGACTCGCATAGTGTCGAGGCGTGCGTATCATACGCACATGTTTGGCGTTAGGCCAATTTCCTCGAATAAACTTGAACTTTTATCGAACAACCCCAAAAAACTGATAATTAAATACTATTTAAAGACTATTGATACAGGGATTACTCGAACAATTCTGATCATATTAAAAGATAATACGAGTGGCACATACTACGGCCCGTGGGCGTGCACTACGTGTGCAGTCCACATCCATAGGCCAAAACTTGATCTTAACATCAACTTGTCTCGACCTATCTTCCTAAACTGAACTTATAAGGACATAATATGATCAAATAAACATGAATTGCACAGGAGATGTCGGGTAAAATTGAACATCACTCGGTTATGACCTAACGCGGCCAAAACCGAACCTTTTATGACATTTCCTTGCATTTCTTGACATGAGCTGATTAAACTGATTTGAACATGATATTAATAACATGAAAAGATGTGGTTCACGAATTTACCTTCTTAATTGTTCGGCTAAAATCTCACGAACGGACGCGATTCTTCACTACCGTGCGTGGGCGTATAAATATGGGCTAATCTTGCTTAGTTCACACTAAGGGTTTGCTGAACCTAAAGCTTAAAATGATAAGCTATTTATCTACACCAAACGTCCAATTTATAATAGTTGAACGGTGGGGAAGGATGATGTTGGAAGTCTCGGCCAATGGTCGTGCGCCATGTGCCGTGCGGTTAGAGCTTGAGGGTGGCATTGGTGAGCTTACTCACCCTCACTTTTGCTTAGTCATGCCTCAAGGAGCTGCATGTGTCCAAGTAAGGATAATTGTTTACGTGAAGAGTTGGAAGATCTTAACTCACGGCCCTAAGATCTTAACTCACAGCCCTTAAGCTCGGCTCAGGCGCGCTAAGTGCGTGCTAAGGGCGTGCTAAACGTGATCGGCATTCGTTAAGCACCATTACACTAATGCCTTGCTAATGACTTGCTCATGACGTGTGAAAGCTTACTTGGTGCTAAGCTAAACACGATTACCTTTAAGCATGATTATCCTTAAACTAATCCTCATTAGTGATAATTAATCATCATTAACATTAAGCTAATCATGATTATCTTTAAGCTAATCATGATTAATTAGTTAAACATGGATTAAGTTAATTAAGCAAGGTTTAATGACCATTACTTAATTAATGATGGACGGTGTACCAAGTGTGATCGCGTCGCTGTATAGGAACGACGACGTTCATATATGGTAACCTTAACCGAATGTACTCATTTTCGGTTACAACTTGACCTCGGAACTTAATTCGAATATTATCTTAACTTAATCTCGTTAATCCCAAACTTGTTTATTATATAAACGTATTGGAATTAAATCTAAAACTCATTCGGTTACTGAAATAATTAAACCGAATATAAAGTCGACTAAAAGTCAAACATTAAATTGGAACTCAATAACTGGCTGAATCACTTGAAATTGAACATGAATATGGTTATTTATTAACAAAGGCTAGCTTAACATTAAAAGCTAGTATTTTCCTTTATTAATAAAACTCAGGGTGTTACACATTTAATAAATTTGAGGGCATCAATTAAGCAAAGTATAAAAAATAAATCCATCTGACTGATTACATACTAGGATGAACACAATAAATATATCAGGCAAAACAAAATGCAATGATGCATCTAGGAGTTGCTTTATTGAAGATTGTGAGCATTAAGTGCATTTGATGGTTGGGCAAGTAAAGGTCAGTCATTAAGGGATTCATTATTAATTGACTTGATATTTACCTAACACAATAATCCCTCATTATACAAAGGACGTTACATACATAGTGCTTCTATATAATAGTGTTGCTCTTGCTCAGTTTCAGATGTACCAACTTCTTCTCATTTGTAGTCTCTAACAATAAGGTAAATCGTATTAGCACTTCTAATTATAAGAGTTTGGAGCTTTCAATCACAACCTGATGCTTTCAATTTTTTTCTACAATAATACAAATGTTTGATATTTCTTCTCACCGTCTCAGCTGCAAAAGATGGACAGGAACTCACGTGTGGACCAGATTGCGAAGCGCTATCGGGGGACTAGGTGGACTGAACATGAAGAGAAAGTCCTCCACCAAATGTTTTTCCGGAGATACCGTGAAACCCCTGACATACACAGGCCCCATGTCTTCAGTTCTCTATGGGATGGGCTGGCCCATGAGTTATCTGTTCTCATGCAAAAAGATTTTTCCTTGGTCATGGTACGAGCAAAGGTCCATCATCTTAGAACTCTTTACCGCGAATTTATAGTCTATCTCACTATTCCCGACATCATGGTACATGACGATGGTGGCTTAGTAAGTGTTAATCAGTCATATTGGCAATACGTTGGCGAGGTAACCTGTTGTTTAATTTTATATATCTTATTTGCCTATGAACTTTAGTATTATAAAGTGTATTTCTATCATCGTTCATGCATTCATGTTTAGGAAACTGACCGTGAGGTGTTTTTCCGGTGGAATGGGTTCATTTGGTACAATGCATGCGTCGAGGTATTCGATGAACGTGCGGCAGTAGAAATTGATATGGAGGGAGGTCCTGGTACATCCATTCTCGATCCCATTTATCTTGATCATATCGAGTCACTTGATGATAGCAACAATGACAGTATGGACGACCTTCCGGTGGAGAAAGAGCAAGAACCAATCGAAGAACCACCCGCACCAATTGATGTGTACGATGTGGTCCATGACTTTCTCGATGAGGGAATGGAGGTGGATACCGATGTCGAGTCATGTATCAACTCAAACTAGTTATATGGTTTTTCTCGTATTAGGATAAGATGACTACTACTTTTGTCTTTTGTGGTCCTATGTGGTCATCTTGTCATAAGTGATGGATTATATAACTATCTGCCCCAATGTTTTAACATAGGTTTGGGTGTATTTTGTTGCTATATTTTGCGTACTTATGTTGCTTCAGTAAAACTCATGACTACAATGGGTGTAGGTTTATCTTAGGGCAACAATTTTTATTTGTGTGTAATTTCATGCATTACTATAATGGTGTGGTATGTGTTTTGATTACTGTAATGCATATCATCAGTTGATGTGTTTTGGTGCATGGTGTAGTATGTTTTTTGTTTAATGAAATGTTGTTCAAGTGCCCATTTTTTTTCCCCAAATGTAATGGCACTCACATTGTTGCATCATATTCATTACTCAGAAACATCAACATATATGCCTGCACAGGTATGCAAATTCATTCTCATTCATCGACTGTGTACGAAAATGAAATTAATCATATAATTTAGAGTAGAATCATTCACCATAACAAATAGATTAAAGTACAGCTGGGACTTTTCAAAACAATATCGCACAAACCATGGAAGCAACATTAATTAGCAAAATACACAAAACCGTTGTTCCCACCACCAAGCTGGTTCACAATACAATCACAAATACATAATACCACTTGCAATAACCTATAACGCTTTGAAAAAATACAATTAATATGCAACGTTACACCAGGGTTAAGTGCTAAAAAATGCGGATCACTAGAAGACCCCTTGCACGAGGACGGGGCATTTTTGTGATGAGAGCGAGGTATGCGGATTGGGATTTGACTTCCCCGCATACAATTAAACACATGTGGCTGATTATTAACGGAGCATTCGGAAGACACATCACGTTCTCGCGGCCTCGTAGCTGGTTGAAAGTTGTTTAGCGTGGGAGAAAGACTGAGAACATTAGTGTTTGATGGTTCAGACAAAAGTTCTGATGTTTCTATCACCGTAGGGACGACATATTGATTAGCCGATAGGAAGTCTTGCACATTTTGTAAGTCCGGGCGGGCCAACCATACCGAACCGAAAAGAAACTTAAGCTCATTCCAACGAGGATCACCGCAATGCTGATATGCCACACTGAAAGAGTTGGACTAAACACAACAACAAAACGACATGAATAGCAATGGTGATAGATACCAACTACAGAGAAATAGATGAAGCCATAATTAACTAATTACAGGAGGCTCTACGAATGTATGCAATCTCATGAAAAATTTATACTTTGTCATATAATTGCATTTCTATTATATAGTGCCCACTAATGACATGTTGTTACCATGCAAACAACACAAAAGAAGTTTCCATTTTACATAAATTAAAATTTTTTGTTACCTGTCAACTCTATAGGATTCCATTTGAGGCTTTGGTTATTAAAGAAAATAATATGACAACAATGCAGATAGATATTAAATAAAAATCCATAGTCAAAATATGTAACACCCTGAGTTTTATTAATAAAGGGAAATACTAGCTTTTAGTTCTAAGCTAGCCTTTGTTAATAAATAATCATCTTCATGTTCAAGTTCGAGTTAATCAGCTAGTTATATTCCAAGTTCGACTATTAGTCGATAAATTATTCGGTTTAATTATTTAAGTAACCGAATAAGTTTCCAGATTTAATTCCGATTCGTTTATTTTATTAATGAGTTCGGAATTAATTATTCAGTCAGGAATATCCCGTCATGTTAATAATAATAAATCTTGTATTTAATTCCGATATAATAATATTGTCGAGTATTATTTAGCTATGTTCAGTTGTGCTTTAGCTATGTTCGATAAGGCTTAAGTAAGTTCGGCCGTACGAGTAGGTCACCAAGTATGTTCATGTTTTGATGTGAGATCTCTCGAGTATTGTCATGTATTTAGTCATTTCATGATTTGTTTTGTTCAGTCAGTTTATATTGTTCGAAGGTTTTCATGTTTGTTCGGTGATTCGGCCAAGGGACACCACGGGCCGTACATGTGTAGTGAGTATGTTAAGTATAGTCCTTCGAGCATTTCATGTTATTTTGTTCAGTAAATTATGTGTCATGTTCAGTTGAGTATTAATTGTCGAGAAAAGATTAGGTGTGGTCGTGAAACGGCTTAACGCCGTCAGCGGCGCACGGTGCGCACGCCACGGCCGTGTTCAGCTTTTCGTGCAAAATTCATGTTTATGAGTAAATTCAGTATTTATGGACATGTCAAGTCAGTTTATGTCATTTGATGTTGAATTGCTCGAGAGAAGTCGCCGGACGGCCGGCAAGGGCCGGTCGTGGCCGCGCTGCCCGCACGCAGCGGCAGCAGCGCGCC